CCTTTGAGATCCTTCCACGACAAGAGTTTGACTCAACATTCGGCTACTGTTCGATGTCAGCTCCAAGTAGTAGAGCTTTCTCTTCCTAATACCACACCCAATTATCTTGCGAGTCCGAATGTCCTTAAAAATATATAAGGAAGGCCAAAAGATTGCAAGACAATATAAACATCGATTATTTGAGTAACAGATAATAAATTATAATTAAAAAAAAGAACAACAAGTATGGAATCAAGATTAAGAATATTATAAAAAAAGATAAGCTTCATTCTCCAATAATGTAGCAGCAATACCATCGACAGCACTGATGACAGTTTGATCGAAAAATATATTTATCGTGTCACACATTAAGCTTGAAGTCATTTACAAATTTGAAGTACTTTGCCTGTACACGTTGTCTTTAAAACTTTTACATTTTTATTCATATAACACCTGATGATTCAAACATAAAGCTGCAAAAAGCAGACTTTGTTTTCTAAGTTACCAACTCCCTAATTATTTTATTCCATCCAACCCTACTTTTGTGTCTTTGTTACTTCATGTAGGGTCATTAATTAACTTTCTCAACAGATGTGAATCAGGTCTATACGTTTGGTTTTTTTCACTGAAGTTCGAATCTTCCTGGCGCAGACAAAACCATTTTAACATAAACAAAAGACGCACTCGTAATTTGTAGACTCCCAGTCATCCTATTAGACTTTCTTCTTTGAGCCCCTCAGAGTCTTACCTCCTCTCTCCTTCCCCAGTACCAAGCTCCCCCTGTTACTTAAAAATGGATGATTACTCCTCTCAAGAAACCCAGAAAACAACCACCTCAAACCGAAACGTCGATGATCAAGACGATCACCACCATCCAAATCCCACCAACCCATTTGTCCAAATCCTCCAACAACCAATCCAATGGCTCCAAATGCTCTCCTCAGAGCTAAACCCTACCTTTGTCCTGGGTGTGGTTCTTGTTTACGGACTCAGCCAGGGCTTCTCAGGCTCTTATTTCAAAGTGGTCACGGACTACTACTGGAAAGACGTCCAGAAACTCCAGCCCTCTGTTGTCCAGCTTTACATTGGACTGTACTATATTCCGTGGCTCATGAAGCCGGTTTGGGGCTTGTTGACCGACGTTTTTCCAGTCCGGGGATACAGAAGGCGGCCTTATTTTGTTCTGGCCGGAGTTATAGGGACAGTTTCAGCTCTCACGGTTGCATTCAGTGGGAACTTGGCTGCTGTGGTGGCATTGACTTGGTTGATCGGTGTCACGGCAGGTGTGGCGATTGCGGATGTCACGATCGACGCGTGTATAGCCCGGAATAGTATTGAGATACGGTCGTTGGCTTCGGATTTGCAGAGCCTTTGTGGTTTCTGCTCTTCTGCTGGTGCTCTGGTTGGGTACTCTACTAGTGGGTTTTTTGTTCATCATCTTGGTCCTCAGGTACCAATATTACTTTATAATTTTATTTATTTTTCATAATTTATATGCAAATCACGAACCAACACATATATTAAAGTAGCTTACTGAAATTAAGAGAAGAAGAGTTTATATTTATTACATGTCAATCTATGATTAAGAACATGAGAAATGCTAAGGAGACTTTCACAAAACAAAAGTGAGATTCTTTATGGACGCTCTGTCACCTCATATTTTTGACATAATGTTTATACTATTAGCATGAAAATTAACGCTAAACTGTTAGATGATAGTGAATCTATGAAGAGTCTCACATTTAGATAATCTCCTTAACATTTCTCTTATGAACATTGCTCGAGTCTTTTCTTTATAACAATCATAACATAAAAAGTTAGTAATCATATTTACGTGTGAGATCGGGATTTGTGGATAAAAGAAAATTTTGTTTACTAATTTTCCTTGTGCAGTTTTTACATCATTGAATACTAAGGAAAACTAATGAAAAAGCCTTGAAAACTTTGAGTTTTAATGATAAGGACAAAATAAAGGGTAAAGTGAATAGTACCATGATTGATTTTTTAGTGTAAAAATATGGTTTTTCGTTAAAGTAAACAGTAATACTATGCAAATTTGACTGCTTATCATATATCGGTGTGCGTGCATGGCATATTTTTGTGCACCACAGATCTTCAAGTTTCAAGAACGACTCATGCAATATTTATCCAAAAGTTGTGGACGACTAGGAATAGAATAATGAACAACTAATTTTTGGGGTTCTAATTCCTATTGTATATGCATCCCTACGGGTGTGTAACGTGTTTAAGAGAGACTAGAATAAATATTTTTTAATTTTTAAAAATACCTGTTATGTTTACATGCTGTGAGATACATACGGTGCAGTTATTAAATTGTTCATAATTTTTGTCGAGGGAGTTAGAATGATATTTTTTTCAGAATTTTGGTTGTCAAAGAGTGTTGTGTTAATAAGCGGTTTATGAATTCTGAAAATTTAAAAATCGACATGTTGTCTTGTGTTGTAGGGTGCATTGATTCTTTTGGCAATCCCACCAATCTTTCTAACTGTTCTGGGCTTTGTTATATATGAACAAAGATCAACCAACCTTCACTCTCAGAGGAAGAGGGTTAGAAATCTAAATCTTCCACTTTTAACCGATTTTGCGTCTTGTCGATCATACGGCCAGTGCATGGCAGTCGATCGGTGCAAAAATCGGTTAACCTCCGTGTTAGAAAAGCTCGAATTTGATCATGTTAAAGTACCAATGTGTTCATGTTTGCAGGCAGTGGAAGAAGTGGGAGTGGCAATGAGCGGAATGTACAAAACAATCAAACTACCTCAGGTGTGGAAACCTTCCCTTTACATGTACCTCTCCTTGGCCCTCAGTATTAACACTCAGGAAGGTAATTTTTATTGGTACACTGACCCTTCAGCTGGCCCTGCATTCTCTCAGGTCAATCTCTACAACAAAATTAATATTCCTCGCTGAACGAGAGTTGTTTTTAGCACTCTGAGATAGTCATTCTCCACAGAGTTCAGGACGACTGTTTTGGAGTCCTAATAATGATTTCCGTCACATGTTACAGTTTACTTCTTTGTTTTAGGATCATTTGTTAACTGATTAGCTATTTTTATCCATGAGCAGGAGTTTGTTGGGATGATTTATGCAGTTGGTGCAGTGGCTTCGATAGTAGGAGTTCTGATCTACCACAAGACTCTGAAAAACTACCCTTTTCGGAACCTGGTCTTCTTTGCTCAACTTCTCTACGCCATGTCCGGACTTCTCGACCTAACTTTCATCCTAAGGTGGAACCTAGCTCTAGGCATTCCCGACTACTTCTTTGTGATCATGGAAGAATGCGTGTTTCGAATCGTTACCAAGATCCGATGGATGCCCATGATCGTACTGAGCACGAGGCTCTGCCCTCTAGGCATCGAGGGCACGTTCTTCGCGCTGTTGATGTGTATCGACAGCCTTGGCTCGCTGTCGTCGAAATGGGGTGGAGGAGCAGTGCTTCATGCCTTGAATGTCACAAGGACTAATTTTACAAACTTGTGGCTGGCCCTTCTGATTAGAAATGTGTTGAGATTTTTGACTCTTGGTTTGATTTTCTTGGTTCCCAAGGCTGATCAGCTTGATCTGTTGATTCCTTCTGATCTTTTGACCAAGAATTCTTTTGAATTTAGTGATGTGGATGATCAGAGCTTGGAATTGGTCCCATCCAAGGGGAAGATTGAAGTTTAGGTGCCCAATTTTTTAGGGTGAGAGGAAGTAGTGCCAGCGTAACTTGGTTTTATATAAGATTTGTGACGATTATTGCAATCGCTGCCTCATATTATACAAAAATTTACATGACAAGTTTGGTTTGGGGGCACTTATCTTGCAAATGTTGAGAAATGTCTGAAGTTCGAATTCCTTCTCCATCCCCGTAGTATCTTATACCATGGACTATTCATGGTGCAAATTACTATTAGACGAAGGTATGGTTCGTTTGACTATGGACGAACGTACATAAATGGTTCGTTCGACTATGGACGAATGTCCTATACAGAGGATTTGGACAGATCATATAGTTTTAAAATATTTTACGTCTAACAATTTTATTTAGGGTTGTACTATTCACACATCTCTTTTTACTTCATACACACCCTCTTTATTTACGACCGTCGGATCGACTAAATTAAAGAACATCAAAAGGCAGAAATTAATAAAGGGTATGTGAGAAGTAAAAAAAGATACGTGAAAACCACATCCCTTTTATTTATTCATTGACATTAAAGAGATACATTAGTAGAAGTACTCGACAATATAAGTTGTAGGACACTTTTCACAATAGTATTAGAGCATATACTGCACACGAATTCACCTGATCGTATTCAAACAGCTTTATATCCGCAATCACCTCCCTTCACCCATTGACTTGCGTTGACCTGCCCCATCCCAAAGGAATTGGATCCTCTTATGAGCATAAGCTCATGATCCTCCTAACCAGCCCACGTGAGTTATTGATTTTTGATTCAACAGTTACAATTATTATAACTTTTAAAAAGATCATAGGTATCCAACAGCTCACGTAAACTGATCAGCATGATCCTAAGCTTGTGCTCAGCAGAGGATCCAATTCTCATCCCAAAGGCCCCAAAGTCTTCCTTCGTTTTTTGACCCCCAAAAAGGTGGTCTTTTTTTGTTTTATTATTTGCTGCCCAAAGTCTTTCTATTTTTCCATTTTCCCCGGAATTAGATCCTCTTCGGATCTCCACAATGGGATTCCGATGATTAATAAATAGTAACCATTCATCAAAGATCTCACGGTCTTAATTTTTTTATATTTTTTACACAAAACGAAGCTGTTTTACTTTTGAAAATATAAAAAATATGTAATTGTAGTCTCACGATTTTTAATGAAGATTATTATTCATTGATTTTTCAGATTCCCAGTGAGAAGATCCGAAGAGGATCTAATTCCTTTTTCCCCCACACTTTTGACTGTTGCAACAAAAGACAAAGTAAACAAATCCAACGGTCTGAATTCTCCTTAAAAAAGACCACCGTAACCGAGATCGTAATTGTCTATTTTACCCTCAACTCCGACGCGTCCCTAACCTAGTGGCCCTGGTCAAAGTCTTCGTCTTCAACTCTCTCCCACTCCCTCTCTTCCTCCGGCTGTCGCGTCTTCTCTGCGGAACCCTAATTTTGCTGCAAACTTTTGGGTCGTCACTGTCAGCTCTCACATGGTAATCTAGCTTCTTTCTCTCCCACCATTTTTATGCTTTTCTCTGTAATTTTTCCTCTGCAATTTCTATTTATAAATTTATGCAAAATTAGGGTTTTGTTCTGTAAATTGGATTTTGTACGGATTCTGAGAATCTAGGTTTTTTACTGATTAAGCTTTAAAGGGAATTTTCTGATGGGTTTGACAAAATTAGAGTACCAGAGCATATTAGGCTTAGAATTTGCAATCTTTTTTTCTGTTTCCTTAATATGTCAGGTTTTCTTTATTTTCTCTGTTTTCTGAGGAACCAAACAGACTGCTAGGGTTCTGGTTTGTGGGTTTTTCGAAAGGTTACGTTTTTAGAATTTGAAACCGTGTTAAGTGAATGTGAATTTGCTGTTGAACTTTGTTGTCAAGCATTACAGTATGATACAGGTGTTATATCAATAATGCTTTGTTTTATGATGATTTCGATGTTTTTTGATTGGAGAGTACTTTTCATGCTTTCATAATTGCGTCCATCGTGTTCAATTGCTGACTAAATTGTACTTTCTTCTTCATATGTAGGCGAACAAGCACACGATCATTCTAATGCAAACTTCTCACAACAAAGCAAGTAGAACCTTTATGGACTATGATTCTATAAGTCAAGCAATGGATGGTATGTTTTATTTATGGTTGTTGTTGTGATTACGTTTTATTTATAAAATTGTGTTGGTACATTACCATTGTTATCGTTCTTCAATTCTTTCGACCCCAAAGTGTATTTTGTCTCTGACACTGTGAACTACTTCATCATGTCATAAAAGGAATCATTGTGTATAAGAAAAAAAAAATGCTTATGAACTGCTGATTCTTGAAAGAAACTGAAGAAAGGGTATAGGTGATTCCAGAGGCAGAAAATTGTTTACTTTCACCTATTAGGTAAGTTTTTCTTGAAAACTGAAGGATGTGATTAGTAATCGGTAGTGCCTCAGCACTTTATCCAGAATCCTAGTGAAGACCTTGGAGCTTATAAAACTCACCCGGGGGGGGGGGTTGTAACATGAATGAAATATTAGTTTGCTTGAGTGCGTTCTGTCATGATTGAGTGTGCAGTTGTCCGAGATACTTATTTTAGTTAGGCTGGGAGTTTATAATTTGTGAGAGCCTGCTATATGACATGTGTTTTGATTAGTTTATTTGTGTTGTTCGGTGAAACATGATAGTTCGTGTACATGTTAAACTTCCACTTCATATGAGAGAAAACATGTTTCTTCCCTGTCCCTCTTCTTCTTTTCTCTGTACATATGTGTTTGACTATATGTTCCTGAGAGTTTTTTAACCCTCCTGGTTCACTGCTGGATACTTCATGGTGAAAAAGGGTGGGAGGGCTCCCAAGATATAATGTGATTATAACCGCTATTTTTTCGTTTGCATTGACTAGAAGTTAAGCTGTGGTGTGTATAGGTATATGTGGACTATATGAGAGGAAGCTGAGGGAGTTAAATCCAGCAATTAGAGATATCTCTTACGACATCGGAGATCTCTACAATTTCATTGATGGTCTTGCTGACATGAGTGCTTTAGTGTATGCCTCTCTCTCTCTCTCTCTCTCTCTCTCTCTCTCTCTCTCTCTCTCACACAACAAAACTCACAAAATAGGCACCAAATTATGTATTTTGTAGAATATGTCAATGATCTTCAGATTTGAGTTAGAAAGGTTCCGATCAACTTCAGTTCTTACCAAATTATGTGTGAAACTGATACCTTCTGTCTGGTTTTGGTTTGCAGTTATGACCACTCAATTCAGGGATATCTCCCATACGACAGACAGTGGATTAAACAACGGACGCTTCGACATCTTCAGAAACTTGCACATTGACTAAAGTGATGCTGCAGATTAGGTCTGTAGCAAATCCGCAAAAAATAAGAAGGAAAAAAAGAGGAGTATTTTTAGACTTGAATCAGATTTTAAAGGGATTTAGATATGAAGTGTATAACTACCCGGCTTTCGACTATCCTGGTTTTCATCCGGTCTGTGTGTTATTCTGGTGTTGTAAGCTTTCTATCTGTGCACATAACTTCAAAATTAGACGGTGGCTTTGCCCAAGTTTCAAATGAAAATCAACGTTTGTTGTCGTTTCGGAGCAATTGTTCTTTGTTTCGTAAGCCTCTGGCTGTGATGATATCAGAATCTTGTACTGTTTAACCTTCAAACGGAGATACCCAGAAGTAAGTCTAATTAGTGTGGCTAGAGATTCAATCAAAACAACTAAATTACCTATTGCTTTCAAAAATAGTGGTTTTCCTTCTCAAAAAACAAAATGTAAAGGATTTTAGCAATTATCGGCTAGTCTGGAAGCGCTTTTCAAATGATTAAAAGCGTTTTTGGAGAAATTGATTTGGGGGTATTAAAGTGTATTTTGCATGAAGTATTTAAAGTGTTTTTATCAGTATCTACTCGGACTTTTATTAAGGATTGATTTTAAAATCATTTTTACCGTTTTAAAAACGCTTTGAACGAGCTTTATATATATATTTTTAATCAACAGATGAAACTTACCTCTTCTAACAAAAGGTGAGAATTCTTATTTTTTTTAACCATTAAAAAGGGACTACTATCGCATGTGGTTCAATATTCTAGTGAATAAGATATTGATTGATCTAATATTCTAGTGAATAAGATGTTGAGTTTATATGTGTACGTTCTGAATTTGAAATTACTCATCTCCTAAATTATATGATTTTGAACTCTCCTCGTCTTCTTAATAATGGTAAAAAAAATTAAAAAACTAAAATATAAAACGTCTCAAGACCTTGATTATTTTAGTGGCGTTTCATTTTATTATGGTGAAAGATGTCCAACTATGATTTGCAAGTTATATTTTAATTTTGGATTAATATAATTTGTAATTTCGTCATCAAATATGAGTTGTAAATTATATTTTCATTTTTGGTTGGAATATATATTCCAAAATTCTTATAATATTAAGACCCAAATTATATTTATCTCCAAAAGGCAAAATAATTTCAGTATTTACGACTAGGGCTTTTGCGGAGCCTCTTTCTGAATTTCTGATCCACACCACCTACGTTTCACAGTCGTCGTCCTTCGCGGTTTTCAGTTTTGCAGAAGAGAGGGGGCGGATTCGCAATCGGACCAGTGGGGTTAGGGCTTTGCAGGAATTAAAGCTTCAACCTTCCCATACTCTCTCGGTAAGCAGATTTGATTTCTGACGATTGAGCTAAATAAATTAGGGATTATGAATTTGGTAATCTCTGCATGGTTTGGAGTTTTATTTTGTATGCAAATTTGGGTTCATGTTTTTGATAATTTGTGAATTGACGTTAAAGTGTTGAATTTTTTATGCATTTTGTCGGACTGATTTGCAGAAGCTGATGCAAAAATGAGTTCGTTCTCGATTACGCGGAAGAAGACTCCGTTCCAGAAGCACAGGGAGGAGGAAGAGGCAAAGAAAAAGGTGCCGCTGCCGCCATTGATTATTAACTTCATTGGGCTTGTTGGCTTGGCTCCTCTGGAAGTGAGGTTAACTGACAAAGTACTGTTTTATTCTTTTCGATTTTCGTTTCAGAGAGCGGAGGATGAAACAGCTCGCTTATATGCGGAGTTTGTGGAGTCATTTCAAGGGGATAACGCACCGGGGTCGAAGGCCTTTGTTCGTGGAGGAACAATCAATCCCAATGAGAAGGTGAAGCCGGATTCCGAAGGTTAGTATAGCGGAAGAACTATTGACTGCTTTTTGTTCAAGTTCTGATAGTTACAGTTCTCAGTGCTTTGTTTTAATATTATGCCATTTCACAATATGGATGAGTAAAATAGCTTTCTATTATTATCGGAACACATTAATAAAAGTATGGACCTTTTTATTCATTCGCGGATCGCAGGTGAAAAGTCCAAAGATGGGGTATCTGTTCCAAAGAAGGGGAGTAGGTAAAGAAATGCTTTTGATTAGCCATGCTGCAATACTCTTTGATAAGGCATCATAACTAGGACAATTTTTTATGGTGATGGTTTAACATCCTCGGATGGATTTTGTATTTTTTGAAGTTGTAAGTGTTCAAAATAGAAAAGTGGAAAATTATGATTTTCAATAATCAATTTCAGATAAATCAACCCTACTGTTTTACTCTTCTTTTGGTAAAATGTATTGTGATCTTGCAATTATTCATCGAATGCGTTGCCAATCTCTGGGTTTCTTGAATGTTTTAAGTAAGTGTATACTTCTAGTTTGTATAATATCTACATATACATTTTCTTATGCATATTATACTAAATTAGGAGGTGGTGTCATATGGTTGAAGTTCTGTACTTTGATTGAAACTCATATAAATGCTAGGTTGATATAAGACATTGTCAGTTCTGTTGCTCTGCACTCTGTATTGGTGTCAGAGTCAGATGGCTGTTCTGTCCAGCGGGAATTTTTACCGTGTAAATCTACAGTGTTCTTTCTGTTCTCAATGTTATTTGAACCTGTTTGGCGACATATTCAGTAGTCACATAGCTTCTTTCATGAGCTGCAGTGTAATGTTGTCCAAATCAATAGCAAAACCAGAAGTTAGGCTTCAAAACCGTTTATACTTCGTTTTAAGTGAGAAAAGCTAGTGCTCACCTGTAGTTACTGCATTATCTCTTAGAAACATCAGAAGTTTTGGCCCGGTTTGTATGAGCTTTTATATACTTTTCTTTTCTATAGAAGCTGTGAGAAACAGTAGCCCGTTGTTGTTTTCAATGGTGTATTTTTATAATTTCTGAACTAAAGCTGATGTAGATCGTTGATTTTTTTTGTTTTTGGTGTAAGCTTACTTTCTAAAGAAACGTCTCAAAACTCATTTGGCAACATGTTTCCGCACTGTAGTTTACTTTTGTCATTTTAACGTAAAAGTATTTGAGAATGGAGGAATCAAACAGGTCCTCTAAGGTAGCTGTCAAAGGGGCTTGGTTAGGAATAAGCTATGGTTGAGTAGTTGGAATACTTCTTTCTATGTATTTTAATAATCATTTTCCTGGAAAAGAGCTTCGATAACAAGCACATTTGCTATTAATTTATCTTCTGCAGGTATGTTCCATCTTTCTTACCACCACCTTTGGCATCCAAAGGGAAAGAATCCGAGAAGAAGGTCAGTACCCTGATAGAGGTAATAGCTTTTGTTTATTGTATCAAATTGAATTGTGTATCGACTCTAAATATTCTTCCTACACATTGCAGAGGGAGGAGGAGAGACCGAGGGAGAAAGAAAAAGGAAAGTCTCGAAACATAGATCATTTTATGGAAGAGTTGAAGCGTGAGCAGGAGATGAGGGAGAGGCGAAATCAAGACCGTGAAAATTGGCATGATGGGCGGCAGATTGAGAATTCTACAGTACGTATTTCCCTAATTGATTCTGGTTTTCAATTTTCTAGGAATGGTGAGTTGGATGGTATATCTTCACTTTAGCATGGGTTTGTTATGAGTTTGTTAAATGACTTTTCCAGTTCTCAATGCATGTTTTTCTTGTTGTTGTAGCATTTGAGCCTGGTTATATTAATAGGTTTTTGATTTAATGAATACATGCAAATAAACTTTGGCATTGTTGAATTACGTTTTATTTTTGTTTACTGTTATTATTTAGTTGGTTCCTATGAAAATTTCTGTTTTGTGTTTCATTACGTATTGGTTTGCTACTGAGGTGCTTTTATAAAAAGTGGGTATAAAAAAAGGCTAAGCTCAAAAAGGTGTTTGGTAAACACTTAAAAACAGCTTATTTTCATAGTTTTGGGTGAAAAAAAGCTGAAAACGTTAAACAGCAAACATGCGCTTATTCTTGCAACACAACAGAAGCAGTTTTTTTTCAAAGCATAGCAATACCAAACCAGATCTTTATGTTATCTCTATGTCATACAGATCTTTTATGTTGGCATCATGTGTTTTCTTGTTTCTTTATAAAAACATATATTCATTAAGCCATACCTTGTCAGCCATCCAGTCGCTTTGATGAACTTCCTGATGAATTTGATCCAAGTGGAAAGCTTCTTGGATCATTTGATGATGGTGATCCACAAACTACTAATCTATACGTTGGAAATCTTTCGCCAAAGGTTTGGTCTTCTTCTTCTTCCTTTTTTTTTTCCAGACTGTTTGTTTTGACTTAGTACTCTTTTGCGCATGATGCAAAGAACTTGCCACTCTTAAGTTATTATATGTTTCTCATATGGCTAGGTTGATGAAAATTTTCTTTTGCGAACTTTTGGAAGATTTGGGCCTATTGCTAGTGTGAAAATAATGTGGCCTAGGACAGAAGAGGAGCGAAGGCGCCAAAGAAATTGTGGCTTTGTAGCTTTCATGAACAGAGCTGATGGACAGGCAGCGAAAGATGAAATGCAAGGTTGGTTATTTTCAGTTACCATACAATTGAGGGCCTGAGGCTTAATCATGGTAGATGTTTTGAATACGTATCTGAGTTCTCTCTGTGAAGATAAAGTTATCTCCCTATTTGGATCTCATGGTGCTTAGTTTATAAAGTTTCTACTAATCTCATAAAATTGACTTTGTTCAACAAATTGCTAGTCGATATTATTTCCTCGTCCTATAAACTTTTATGTACTGAGGAATGAAGGATAGGAAAGTAATTAACAAAAAAGTTTGTTGTGTAGGAGTGGTGGTTTATGAGTATGAGTTGAAGATTGGGTGGGGCAAGTCTGTTGCTCTACCATCACAAGCTCTACCTGCTCCCCCTCCAGGACATATGGCCATCAGGAGTGAGGTTTGTTTCATTTTCATTGTAATTTTTTTCCTGTTGTTTATTTCTCCTAAAATTTGAAGTTTTCTGGCTAATTATTTGTGCAATAAGGATTTGACATATTCAGCTTTACTTAAAACTTCAGATGGATTATTGAAGCTAACATTCTTTTTTGTTGACAGGGTTCCACTGTAATCTTGTCTGGTCCATCAGGTTCATCAGGCCCGCCTGTCACTTCTGTTCCTAGTCAGAATTCTGAACTGGTAAGCTACCTAGTTCTTTGCTAGTCACCATTTTTATTTGTCCAATATTGCAATCTTGCCAATCTTTGGATGTGTTTTTGGTGAATAGGTTCTTACTCCAAATGTTCCTGATATAACCGTTGTTCCACCAGAGGATGATCACCTCCGCCATGTGATTGATACAATGGCTTTGTATGTTCTGGATGGTGGATGTTCCTTTGAACAAGCTATTATGGAGAGAGGTAGAGGGAATCCTCTTTTCAACTTCTTGTTTGAACTTGGCTCAAAAGAGCACACCTACTATGTTTGGAGACTCTATTCATTTGCTCAGGTATATCCTTTATTTTATGTGTATGCACACGCATTAGATTCCTAGGCAGTTCTGTAAAAAGACTTAAGCTTGTCTGTCATTGGGTTGCTGAGTGATCTTAGCTTTTGCTTCTTGAAGCTTCTTCGTATAAAATATCTGTAACCTATGGGACTGAATATTTACATTAATGTCGTGAATGCAGGGTGATACTCTACAAAGGTGGCGAACAGAACCTTTCATTATGATTACTGGTAGTGGAAGGTAAATCAAACCTACTTTACCTCTTTCTGCGACTCAGTTATTTTGAAACCATAGGTGTTAGCAGTAAGTTGGTGCATTGGACCATAATACTGATCCGTCTGTATATCTATTTTTTTCTCTAGATGGATTCCACCACCTCTGCCAACAGTAAAAAGCCCAGAACATGAGAAAGAGGCCGGTACAACATATGCTGCAGGAAGAAGCAGGGTAAGTGTCTTGTCACGTGCACTTGCCGGATGAATTTACTTTGTATGTTTTCTCATTGTGCAACTTTCTTTCTATTAATATTGCAGCGTGTAGAGCCAGAAAGAACACTTACTGATTCACAGAGGGATGAATTTGAAGATATGTTACGTGCATTAACATTAGAGAGGAGTCAGATAAAGGATGCTATGGGATTTGCATTGGACAATGCTGATGCAGCTGGGGAGGTAAATGCCGAGAATAGTCACTTATTGGTTTCTTATTCAACTGTATGATATTACCAGAGATATATTAACCAGTGGGGAGTATCAAAAGAAAAGAAAAGGAAGAAAGAAAGACTAGTTCTGCGTGTACACATTTCTTAGACTGTTTTGTGTTGCAGATAGTTGAAGTTCTTACAGAATCTTTGACTCTTAAGGAGACCCCTATCCCAACCAAAGTAGCAAGACTCATGCTTGTCTCTGATGTGCTTCACAATAGCAGTGCTCCGGTAAAGAATGCATCTGCATACCGCACCAAATTTGAAGCTTCATTACCAGACATAATGGAGAGCTTTAATGATTTGTATCGTAGCATAACAGGAAGGATCACTGCTGAGGCCCTTAAGGTATGATAATGGTAGTTTCATCCTGCTGTAGTAAATATATATGTATATATATATTTTTTCTTTTTTTCTTTTTCTATCATTTGTTGAACTTTGAGAGAGAAGACCCAGGAAAACTTTGAGAGAGACCCTAAGAAAAGACTTAGAGTACTTGGATCTAACGGAGGACATGACACAGGACAGAACACAATGGCGTTCTAAGATTCATATAGCCGATCCCACTCAGTGACTTGGATTTTCCAAGTCTCCAACCGAGAAGTTGTCCTCGCTCGGGAAATTAAGGGAACACTACCTCAACCTACATGCTCCACTCACAAAGCTCCAACATACAAGCTTCAACAAAAGAAAATTCAAAGAACTTAGCGAAGAAGGCTTTGGTGATTTAACACAATACGTTGAAATGAAGGGAAGCTTATTTATTGATATCCCCGATAAATTACAAATATTTACATATACTTGAGTCAAAATAAACAAACAAGAGGGAGCCTTCACAAAGGTTGCTTAGGAGAAGTCTCGGCAGTCGGTAGAGCCCCAGAAAGAGAAGGCACCGGAGGGGGATCATTCGGGAGCCTCAGTACTGGACAGAACCCTAGAAGGAGGAGGCATCAGAGGTTGATCATTTGGAGCTTCATTACGCGGTACAACCCCAGAAGACGAAGGCAATAAATGCCTTTGGAACAAACCCACAAATCTCTGATGATCAAGTAAAACCTGACCATCAGATTCCTTCATCTGGTCAAGCTTCCTCTTCATGTTTGTAGCATAGTCATGTGCGAGCCGGTGCAACTGTTTATTCTCATGCTTGAGCCCTCTAATCTCCTGCTTGAGACTCATCACTTCAGCCGCCAATGATTCAACTTGGCGGGTTCGAGCAAATAGGCGTTGGGCTATATTAGACACAGAACCTGCACACTGAACACTAAGAGCCAGAGAATCCTTAACAGCCAACTCATCAGACCGTTTGGAAAGTAGTCTGTTATCTTTGGGAGTGAGAAGGTTCCTGGCCACTACCGCAGCGGTCATATCATTCTTCATCACGGAATCCCCAACGGTAAGAGGACCAGTAGGGGAGACGAAGGATGGGCGCCATATGTTGTCTGGAGAAGGCGGGGCTGCCTCTTCAACAAGGTTCAAGTCAAAACGACGGTCGGAGGGGCCAGACATTTTCAAAGGTGTAGAAAAGAGAAGAGGTCGGACAAATCAAGATCTTAGAAGTGCAAGAATGGAGCTTCTACTGGTGGATATTCAAGTGTGCTTTGGAACTTAATGTCAGCCTCTATAAAAATCTGCACTCGACGAAGCTTCAGAAATCGAAGAGGCGTTTGCTTTCTCAAAAGCTGGGCTGCTCAGAGACCACGAGGGTCGATCTCAGAAATCGAAGAGGCGTTTGCTTTCTCAAAAGCTGGGCTGCTCAAAGACCACGAAGGTCGATCTCAGAAATCGAAGAGGTTTGCTTTCTCAAAAGCTGGGCTGCTCAGAGACCACGAGGGCCGATCTCAGAAATCGAAGAGGTTTGCTTTCTCAAAAGCTGGGCTGCTCAGAGACCACGAGGGCCGATCTCAGAAATCGAAGAGGTTTGCTTTCTCAAAAGCTGGGCTGCTCAGAGACCACGAGGGTCGATCTCAGAAATCGAAGAGGCACCTACTTTTCCAGCCTTGTCAGCACCTGTCACACGCACACTCAGCTTTGCGGAAATTATGGGCATTCTGTCGAAGATTTCTGGCGAAGTAGAAAGCACATGAATCGTACTGTTCAATCACCCACTTCCCACACGCAACAGTAGCTCATGGGTACCACATATAACTTTGCCAAAGTCCTCTGACAAATTTGAGACTACTTTTCCAGCCTTGTCAGCACCTGTCACACGCACACTCAGCTTTGCGGAAATTATGGGCATTCTGTCGAAGATTTCTGGCGAAGTAGAAAGCACATGAATCGTACTGTTCAATCACCCACTTCCCACACGCAACAGTAGCTCATGGGTACCACATATAACTTTGCCAAAGTTCTCTGACAAAGTCGAGACACGTGAAGCTTGCAACTCTCACTACATCGCTCTGACCAAGAAGGGTAAAAGAATAGCAAAGAAACAACACTAACAAAGTTTAGACACATAAATTTTGACGGCCTAGCTACCATATTATTACCCACAAGGGTAAAGGAACAGTACCACTGCTGGATAATTGGAAAGTCCCGGTGTGTCAACCTCTGTGCTTCATGGCAAGGTAGACTAGCAAACATGCCCAACCTTTACTCACATTCGAGAAAACACTCCCAACAAGATTGCTTGCCCCAAAATCGAAGAGGCATCGCCCTCCGAATCTCGAGAGCCAGACTCCCAACATGATTACTTTCTCAAAAATCGAAGAGAGGGTAAAGGAACAGTACCACTGCTGGATAATTTGAAAGTCCCTGTGTGTCATCCTCTGTGCTTCATGGCAAGGTAGACTAGCAAAACATGCCCAACCTTTACTCACATTCGAGAAAACACCCCCAACAAGATTGCTTGCTCCAAAATCGAAGAGGCACCGCCCTCCGAATCTCGAGAGCCAGACTCCTAACATGATTACTTTCTCAAAAATCGAAGAGAGGGTAAAGGAACAGTACCACTGCTGGATAATTGGAAAGTCCCTGTGTGTCAACCTCTGTGCTTCGTGGCAAGGTAGACTAGCAAACATGCCCAACCTTTACTCATATTCGAGAAAACACTCCCAACTCCCAACATGATTACTTTCTCAAAAATCGAAGACACCGCTCTCCGAATCTCGAGAGCCAGACCCCAGCATGATTGCTTTCTCAAAAAATCGAAGAGGCATCGTTCTCCGAATCTCGAGAGCCAGATCCCCGACAGGATTGCTTGTTCGAAAACTGAAGAGGCACCACTTTCCCAACTTCAAGAGCCGGATCTCCTTGGATAAAGCTTGTCTGTAATCTTCACACGCAACATCAGCTTTCCAGATACCACAGACCACTTTTTCAAAGTGCTCTGACAGAGTTAAAACTTGTGAAGCTGGCAGCTCCCACTACCGTGCTATGACCAAGCAGGGTAAATGAATAACATTATTACTTGATGTTAGGGAGACTCCTATATATGTCGACCTCCATTCCCAACGGACAGGCAGACCTGCAAAAATGCTCAACCCTTCCTCTTATCTGAGAGGGCACTCCCAACGAAGCCTTTCGAAATATTCAGCTTTCTTTCCCCCCGATAATACCTCTGTAAACAAGCTATACTAGAGCAAGAATATCTCATATCATCAGGGTTAAAAGCAAGAGTATCCCATATCATGCTTTTTCCCTGTCTTTTCCTTTGGCCTTGTTCTTACCTGCAAGACAAGGAGAAAGAGAGCAATCAGTCAGCACTTGGAATCAAGCTTCCAACCAGGAACTGACTGCCTGGAACCCCTTACCCTGGCATTGCTCTCGAGTACTCATCTTCAACATCTTATGCTTCCAAGGAAGATACCGCATCTGCCTGAGGAACAGATAGGGCAAGTGAAAAGGATACAAGGAAGCATGTGGAGACAAGCGTAATAGCACACGTGCCGATACATCCACTACTCTGTCAAAAGCAAAAGTATCCCATATCAGCAGGGTCGAACGTACTCTAGATTTGATGGACTTGTTTTGACCCTCAAATTCTTCAGTCGACCTTATACTTTGGAGGAAACCAGAAAACCCTCCAGCCCAGTTCAAGAATAAGCCTGTGGAAAGTTACTTCTTCAAAAGCAAAAGTATCCCATATCATCTCTTCTCATTTTTCTTCTCTTTATCCTTCATGCTGCCTGCAAGATAGGGAGAATGTGAAACAATCAGCCGGAGCTCTGATTGCTTACCTTGTCTGTTACCTCTTTCAGCAGATCCCCTAGCTCGGCGACTTGGGGGACTCCTACTACATGGTTTGTATCGCGCTTGACCAAGCCTGAAACTACAAGTAAGCTTCAAGTGACATTGATACATTACCTTGTGCATCTCCACCAGTTACAGATATCACCCCTGGATGGAGGAAGAGTACTTCCAGAGAAGATTTCCACATCTACCTATGAGACAGATAAGGAAAGTCAAGCCGATACCACACTCTGGGACTTAGAAGTTTCGTGGTTACGAGATCATTCTCCCACAAATATTTCCTAATGTCATTTGTACTAAATCATTCACTTGTACTCCCTAAAGGAGAGCTTGAACCTATGTACTTGTGTAAACCCTTCACAATTAATGAGAACTCCTCTATTCCGTGGACGTAGCCAATCTGGGTGAATCACGTACATCTTGTGTTTGCTTTCCTATCTCTATCCATTTTTATATATTTATCCACACTAATGACCGGAGCAATCTAGCGAAGATCACAAAAAGTGACCGTTTTCGCTACCTAGGATCTATCTTGCAAGAGAACGGAGAATTAGATGGAGATCTCAACCATAGAATACAAGTTGGATGGATGAAGTGTAAGAGTGTATCCGGCGTGTTGTGTGATCGTCGTAGGCCACTGAAGCTCAAGGGAAAATTTTATAGGACGGCAATAAGGCCAACGATGTTGTATGGCACAGAATGTTGGGCGGTGAAGCATCAACACGTACACAAAATGGGTGTAGCGGAGATGAGGATGCTTCGTGGGATGTATGGGCACACGAGAAAGGATAAGATTGGGAATGAGGATATCCAAGGTAAAGTAGGAGTAGCCAAAATTGAAGGAAATATGAAAGAAAATCGGTTCCGGTGGTTTGGACATGTGCAAAGAAGGCCTACTGACGCTCCGGTTCGAAAATGTGACTACGGGACAGAAGTTCAGGGCCGAAGGAGTAGAGGAAGACCTAGGAAAACTTTGGAAGAGACCCTAAGAAAAGACTTGATTACTTGGATCTAACGGAGGACATGACACAAAACCGAGCGCAATGGCGTTCTAGGATTCATATAGCCGACCCCACTTAGTGGGAAAAGGCTTTGTTGTTGTTGTTGTTGTTGTTGTATCATTTGTTGAACTTTACTTGAAAATCTGCAGGAAAGAGTTCTGAAAGTATTGCAAGTATGGTCGGACTGGTTTCTTTTTTCAGACGCTTACGTGAATGGATTACGGGCTACTTTTCTTCGGTCTGGGAACTCTCATGTGGTCCCCTTTCACTCCATATGTGGTGAAGCACCTGAAATAGACAAAAAGACCACTTCCGAAGATACAAGTGATGCTAGTAAAACCAATCAAGATGCTGCTTTGGCAATGGGCAAAGGAGCAGCTATGAGGGAGTTAATGAGTCTTCCCCTAGCTGAGTTGGAAAGACGCTGCAGACATAATGGATTGTCTCTTGTTGGTGGTCGAGAAACAATGGTTGCACGTTTGCTTAGTCTTGAAGAAGCAGAAAAACAAAGGGGCTACGACTTAGATGATGACTTGAAATTTGCTCAGAAGCATTCAAGTTCAGCTAGAAATTCAAGTAGCCGCAGAGAAAGGAATATTGAACCAGACCCAGTGGAAATGTCTGGATGGAATCGTAATGTAGAGGATGAGTTACAGTCTCAAGGGAAGGGTTCCCTACCCTTGGCCCAGACCTTTCCCATCCCGCATCCTGAACTAAATGCGTTTACAAAGAAAGAGAAGAGTGACCCTATTCTACCAGCTTCTAAATGGGCGCGAGAGGATGATGATAGTGATGACGAACAAAAGCAGGCTCGGGGTCTCGGGTTAAGCTACTCATCTTCCGGAAGTGAAAATGCTGGTGATGGTCCCAGTAAAGCTGATGAGACGGAGGTCGCAACTGATGCAAGCATTCAAGCACAACCTGACAGTGGAATTAGTGAGGAGCAGAGGTGTGTTTATTTTCATTTGTTTAACAAGAAAGCTTTTAGGAACCTTACGAAATTGTACTTATATTTTGCTTGACTGTTTTACTGCAGGCAAAAGTTGAGACGTTTGGAAGTCGCTTTGATAGAATATCGTGAATCTCTTGAGGAGCGGGGAATAAAAAATCTTGAAGAAATTGAGAGGAAGGTTTTAATGTATCGGAAACGGCTTGAATCAGAATATGGGTTATCAGATTCCAGTGAATATGCTTCCGGAAGTAGTAAGTTCTTTAGTTAATAACTCAATACGTATGCCTTGAGATGCGTTCAGACTGTTTCAGGTGTTATTAGTTTGGGTACAACGTTGGGCTGAGATGGTGACATTTATTGGAAGTACTGTTTCTCTTTTTTTCTTTTCTAAATTCTAATAACGCTTGATTTGTATCATAATTCCCCCCCTTTGTATTCTTTAGAGAGAACATCCTCAGAGAGGGACAGACGGGATGCCGATACTCGTGATGCTTCAAGAAAGCGGCACCGCAGTGGAAGCCAAGGTGATAGTCCACTACAAAGATCATCAAACAGAGATCGGGAAAGGGAAAATGATTTAGACAGAGACCGGGAAAGGCAGCGGGATAGAAACAGAGACAGACCCCGTGATTTTGAAGTTGATAGGGGGAGGGGCCGGGACCTGGATCGTGAGAAGAGTGGAAGTAGAGACAGGGATGACCATGAGAGAGATAGAAGCAGAGAAGGAGACAGGGATAGGAGGAGAAGAATGAAATGAGTCTATCCTGAAGAACTCTTGAAAAGAGTTGGGAATCTAATCGATAATTTCCAAAATTTGAGTCCCTTTGGGAATCGTGGTGCAATGTTTCTAGACGAAGCAATGTCGCGGCCAAGATGGCGTTAAGCAGGCGTCTGATATGGAAGAAGAATCCTTTGGGTTCCAAGTGTTGCAGAACATGTTCTGTGTTTTCTAGTGATTAGTTACATCCTGTTACAGGAATTTACTTCTTGTTAACCAATATTTGTTGGTAATTATGTAACGATTTCGCATCTTCATTGCTTTTTGTAGTGCCACATTTTGGTACTGGTTTGGTAATCCACCAGCAGGGGGTGGTTAATATCTCAAATGAAGCCATCAAAATCTTACGTTTGTTTTTCTGAAGTTCAAATTTACCGCGTCCGATTGTAGCTCAACAGTTGAAATGTATGTGATTGTTTAGTTTCGAGTTCAAAGCTTCGTTTTGGTTTCCTATTGATGCACTATTTTTCGGTGCTTATGGTCATTCCGCCATTGGACTCGGATTTGTTTTTGGCTTGGGGACTTGAATTTTCGGTGCTTTCCGAGTGCAGAGGTTTTACGTGTGCAAATTAGCTTTTCAAATCAAAAAGCGCAAATTGAATATCATATATTAGATGACGTGTATGTGCGAAAACAATTATGTTTTTTGCTTAACACGATTAGGGATGTGTAATGGTTATGTGGGCGGGTAACCGCGATTAATTTACCTATAACCGTTTATGCTCATACCTGTATAACCGTTTACCCGTTGGATAATTGCCTAAACGGTTATACACATACTCATAACCATTTATAAACGGTTAACCATACCCATAACCACATACCCATTTAACCGTAACCGTTTAACGCCCGTTTACCCATTTATCCTTTTTAACCCGTTTATCTTTTTTTTTTATCATTACCCTTTTTTCACCCGTCTACATGTTTTTTAACAACTTGAAAATAAATAAAAAAATTGTCATAATTTTTTTTTTGACAATTAAACACCGTTATAAGTACATTCATCATACATTTCCATATTTTAATTTTTTAAGTCTTTATACTATTCCAATAATTGAAATAATAGTTTACAGACGATATTTTTAACTGTTACCAATGAAGGTAAATATAATATTTGCTAAGTATTATTGGGTTACAAAAATTGTTTAGAAGACATTTCTATCAAAGCATTTATGTCAATTTCACAGTTACCCGCAATGAATTTAAATTAATTTGGCCAATTCCTTGATGATGAGAATCATCATTCCTGTAGTAATGTTATTGAGATAAGGACCGATGAATTCCTTGCTAATTTATTGGGTGCTAAGTATTATTGGATCGAGAACATAGTTTGTGTTAGTTTTACATATATAAAATAAATGGGTAAACGGTTACCCGTTTATAACCGTAGTTAATACCCATAACCGCTCATTTAAATTTCGTGGGTAAACGGTTATACCCATAACCGTTTATTTATCTAAAAGATTACCCATAACCGTAACCGTTTAATTTAAATAGTCGGGTAACCGCGGTTACCCATAACCAATGAGTATTTGTCTATCTTGGAACACGACTAGACGGAAGGTAGCAAGGATTATGCTGAGACGATGTAAAGACAAAGAAGGACGGCAATCACCAAGTTAAGAGGGTCAGTTGCAACTTACTTTACTATCGATTTTGTTTTATTGGAGTAGGTTCGAGTTCAAATCCATAGTTTTTGTTTGCGAGATTTGGACTTTGGTTGTATCAAATATAATAATATAATTAGTTAGAAACTTGAAAAAAAAAATTCAACAAAATTGTATTATGACATCTAGTGTACCGAGCCGTATTTTTGACAAAATTTCTCTCAAAATTGGGATGGAAAAGCAATACATGTGAGATGAGTCTCTTTCAATTACATATGCTAATTTGTTTTAAGCTTTTCTATTATGTTGTTGGACCCTGATTGCACTTTTTTTTATAGGAAACTTTGACGGTACGAGGGAAATATTGTTGGACACTGACTGTATGATTGTACATGTTGTTAAAGGAAATAAAATAGTCAACTAACAGATATGGTTTGGAGTGATTGTAGGACACAATATTCCTTAGAGTAATTATAGTGATTGATTGTAATTAGCTTTCCTTTACCTAGAATAGCATCGCATTCTTGTATAAATCACTTGTGTCGTGGAAAAGTAAAAAGCAAGTCACGGTAGCAAGATCTTCAGCAGAAGCCGAGTATCGTTCCATGGCTGCAACCACTTGTGAGCTTACTTGGCTAAGGAATTTATTGAAAGATTTGCGTGTAAACCATCCTGAGCCAGCAAGATTGTTTTGCGACAATCAAGCTGCTCTACATATTGCAGCAAACCCTGTGTATCATGAACGAACCAAACACATAGAGCTGGATTGTCATACTGTTCGTGAAAGGATTTAGAGGGGAGAAGTCAAGACCTCTCATGTGCAAACGGGACGTCAAATAGCAGACATGTTTACAAAGCCATTGAGAGCACCTATCTTCCATTCGCATCTTGGCAAGTTGGGTGTTGTTGATATCCACACTCAACTTGAGGGGGAGTGTTAAAGGAAATAAATAGTCAACTAACAAATATGGTTTGGAGTGATTGTAGGACACAATATTCCTTGGAGTAATTATAGTGATTGATTGTAATTAGCTTTCCTTTACCTAGAATAGCATCGCATTCTTGTATAAATCCCTACCTATGTACAGCCGCTATGATATACAAAAATATATTCATACAAACAATTTTATACATGTTTTAGATAAATACAGAGTATATTTTCTCATGTACGTGTCCTTTTTTCTAATTTAGATTCCTTGTTAAATTTAGATACTTTTAGTCAGAAACTGTGTTAGGTTGGGTGTTTGGAATTGAGTTTTATATGATATTTGAGACACCAAAAAAATATGGTATCAGCTAGGTGTGTTATCAAAATATGATATTTGAGACACCAAAAAAATATGATATCAGCAAGGTGTTATCAAAAACTTGCTACAGTTGTGGTCGATATTTGATTTTGATCAGTATAGCATTTGAAAATTTGGATTTCGTTCATGTTAGCCCATTCCTATTGCTCTCTTTCAAATTTTAATTTTACTGATGATTCATGGTTGTCATCGTCATCGTCCATAACCACTACCCTATAGAATTAATACTGCCAATTCACAAGCTGTTAAATCCACTGGTCGGCTAACCCTTTCTGATGTCTGTTATATTGGTTCCTTTTCCTCTGTACTATTCAGCATGTCGTTTTTATGCAAATAAATATTAAAGAAAAAAGGAGAGAGATTCTTCATTGGTCCTCCTCATATAGTTCTCAACTCATGAGCATTTATAGCAAGAAGCTTTGACTTCAGAGTTCAGAATAATTTCTGTGTAAGCTTGACTTTGTTCGATTTTTCGCATTTTGCAGAATTTTACGTACATTTCTGTATAAAAGGGTCACCATGTCTCTTATAAGTTGCAGGCAGGTAACATTGTGTAATAATTTCTATATCTGTCTCTTCATTTTTATCAATTTTCTGCCTGTTATCTGTGCCCGTCGAGCTAATTCCAAATCTTCACTTTCGTTCGCTATACCTCAGTTCAACCTTGACACAAACATACTCTATGAAGGTGATGCCAGACCTTCATTAGGTTTAGGAATGGTAGAACTCAATACAGTCTCTCAATTGTTCCGAGTGGGACGGTTTACTTATTCACAACCTTTGCACTTATGGGAGTCTGCTAGCGGGTCGCTAACAGACTTCACCACTCATTTCACTTTCATGATTGACACTCTAAATAATAGCAGATGGAGTGATGGATTTGCCTTTTTTCTTGCTCCAGTTGGCTTTCCTATTCCACCTAATTCTGCTGGTGGTAATCTAGGATTGTTCAACAGCAGCACAAATTTTGTGCCATCGAAAAACCAAATTGTAATGGTTGAGTTTGATTCCTTCTCGAATGAGTGGGATCCAACCGTGCCTCATGTTGGGATCAATGTGAATAAGATCTTTTCAATTGTTAGCACCAGTTGGGATTTCAGCAGCAACAAATGGAAGGTGGCTAATGCATGGATAACTTACAATGCTACCACAAAGTACCTCAGTGTGTTTTGGACTACAAGGAAAACCCAAATCCTGCTGTTATTGACAGTACTTTTTCTCTTTCGCACCGTATTGACTTACGAGAGGTTCTCCCCGAACAGGTTACAATTGGTTTTTCAGGTGCCACAGGAGTTTGCCCCGAGCGACATGTTATAAGTTCATGGGAATTCAATTCGCATTTGGATTCCAATGAGATCAGTAAGAAAACCAAGGATACGGAAAGGAAGAAGAAATTGTTTATAGCAGCAACTGCTGGTATTACTTTGTTAGTTTTGATGCTTGGTGTGGGTTTGTGTAGGTTGGTTGTAACAAAGCGAATGCACAAGATCGATGGACTTGAGAGTTACTCCAAGGATGTCATCACCTCCATAAATAAGGATCTCGAGAAACGAGCTTTCCCTAATTGATTTGCTTACAAGGGATTGGATGCAGCCGCAAATGGCTTTGCCAGCAATGGAAGGCTAGGCCAAGGAGGATCAGGACATGTTTACAAAGGAATGTTACAAGAACTAGGCTGCACTATTGCTGTCAAGAGAATCTTTGCAAAATCCGATTACTATGAGAAGATTTTCATCAACGAAGTCAAGATTATAAGCCGGTTAATACACAGGAACCTGGTGCAGTTCATTGGATGGTGTCACGAAGAAGGCGAATGCTTACTTGTTTATGCATACATGCCTAACAGCAGCCTCGACACACATCTGTTTGGGTCTAAAACAACCCTGCGTTGGGATTTCCGGTATAAGATAGCCTTAGGCTTGGCCTCAGCGCTTCATTATCTACATGAAGATGCAGAGCAATGCGTTCTTCATAGGGATATCAAATCAGCTAATGTATTGTTGGACAAAGACTTCGGTACTAAGCTCGGGGATTTTGGGATTGCTAAGCTCCTCGATCCATGTTCCTGGACTCAGACAAGAGGAGCCGTAGGGACTTTTGGCTACATTGCTCCAGAATATGCAAGTGGAGGGCAGGCCAGTAGAGAATGTGACATATTTAGTTTCGGAGTTGTGGCATTGGAAATCGCTTGTGGACGGAGGACTTACCAGGACGGGGAACTTCATGGGCCACTTGTCAGTTGGGCTTGGCAACTCTACCTTGCAAGAAATATTCTATTTGCAGCTGATGAGAGATTGGAAAGAAAGTTCGATCAAATTGAAATGGAATGCTTGTTGATTATCGGATTATGGTGCACTCATCCCAACAGCAAGGGAAGGCTAAAAGCCGGACAAGTGATGAAGGTTCTTCAGCTCGAAGCACCACTTCCGGAACTTCCACATGACATGCACGAATCTGATCATCACCTTCCTCATCATCATATATGATTATGGCACAACCCATAATAGTTTTCC